TAGATTATATCCTACAATCAGGAAAAAGAAATAGCCACAAAGGACATTATTTGAATAATTCACAAAATTCAAATATGAATTATGAACTAGATAATAGCATTGCACTGATGTTCGATTTTCTCATTTTGATTGTGCTGTGGTTAGATAAGAGAGTGTATTCATAGGAAACGTACACTACAATAATTTGGGGTAAAGACAAGTGGTGTCTGCAATTTAAACTTCAAAAAGAAATATATGTGCAAACGCATGGGGAGTGGGGAGGAGGAAATCTGGAAGATACAGTAAGTAATACTAAAGCGAATGGAGGAAAATGCTAACAACTAGTGCAATGGGAGAAAGGGTACACAGAACCCTTTGTACTGTTTGGCAAGTTCACCATAAAATTGAAATTATATAAAAATTTTAAAATAAAAAAATTAAAATACAGCTAACAATAAGAGTTCTTCATTGTCAGTCCAAACACAAAAGAAAATCTTTAGCCCACAGAGCACACAGCTGTGGAGGAAAGGATTGAGGAAAGGTATGATAGGGTAGTTTGCCTGTCCTGGCACCAAGTCAGAATGCCACACCACCTGAGAAGGTGTAAATGCCACCAGCAGTGCTGGTTATGGTGGCAGTTGTAGCTCACCGGGACAGGAATAACGACAGAGCTTTTCTCTGAGTCTCAGCCTTCCAGATGAAACAGTAAGGCTTAGATGAAGAGAACAAGAACTTGTACTGAGTGGCCATTGCCTGGAATCCCTTGGTGTTTATACATGGATGCCCCCTGGGGTTGAACTCTCAAGAGCAAACCAGTGTAGTTTCAGCATTCAATAATTAACAAGTTGATAATGTGTTGAAAATGTGTTCATTGGGGCGGGGCATGGTGGCTCACGCCTGTAGTCCCAGCACTCTGGGAGGCCAAGGTGGGCAGATTGCCTGAGCTCACAAGGTCAACACTAGCAAAGCAAGACCCCTGCCTCTAAAAATAACAGCCAGGCATTGTGGCGGGCGCCTATAATCCCAGCTACCTGGGAGGCTGAGGCAAAAGAATCGCTTGAGCCCAGGAGTCTGATGTAGCTGAGCTATGATGCCATAGCATTCTATCCAAGGCAACAAAGTGAGACTCTGTCTCAAAAAAAAAAAAAAAAAATGTGTTCATTGGGTTATTCTGTGCTAGACCTTGTGGCAGATACTGTGGGTAATCAAGAGTCTGTGGCCTCAAGGAAGTATAGGGCAAGAATAGAGATAAGAGAGATGTTCCCAATATACAAGTAAAAGATTACAGATCTCAGAGGAGGAAGAGAATAGAGAATGAAGTTTCCCAAAAGGATAGGGCCAGGGGTCCTCAAACTTTTTAAACAGGGGTCCAGTTCACTGTCCCTGACCATTGGAGGGCCAGACTGCGGACCCTGGGACTAGTTGGCTGCTAAGCAAGACAGGCAGTGGCAGCAAAAACACCCGGCAGGCTGCATGTGGCCCGTGGGCTGTAGTTTGAGGATGCCTGGATAGGCCAATGGGGTTTGAGAAAGAGGTGGGAGGCAAGGCACAGCCTCACCCCTTACAGGAGGCTGTCCTTGGTACTCAGCCTTAGTGCTGGAGTCATTTATATGTTTCCCCACTGGCAACCCTATCACCTTTTCTAATTCCTGCTGTATCCTTAATAAAAAAGATCAAGGAATTTGTACTCAGGTTAAAAATTTAGGAAGTGAGATATCTACCTAGGGGTAGCTAAAAAATAAGCTGTGAAATTTGAAGCAACAAAAGGAAATAACTACCAAAAGGTATGTGTTTTTAGCAGTATGTTGTAATCTCTGATTGGTTTTTAAAAAGATAAACAGATAATACTTTCATCTATGAGATAGATGATAGATAGGTAGATAGATAACTGAAAAACAGGTGGATAAAAGCTGTGTGACCCAGAAAAAAAATCACCTAAATTCTCTGAACATCAATTTCCTCATCTACAATAATAATACAGCTTAGAGAATTGAAAAGAAAATTAAAAGAGAAAAAGAGTAATACATACTAGCTATTCAAAAAATGTTAGGTAAATAAATGAAAGAGAAGAAAAAAGGAAAGTAAAAGAGAGAAAAGAAATGGATAGACTTACATTAAAAATAAGAATCATCAGCAGTTTGGGAGGACAAAGTGGGAGGATCATGTGAGCTTAGGAATTCAGGCCTGTAGTCCTAGTTACTCAGGAGGCTGAGGCACGAGGATTGCTTGGGCTCCACACTTTGAGGTTGCAGTGAGCTATGATGATGCCACTGCACTCCAGCTGAGGTGACAGAGCAAGATGCTGCCTCAAAATAAATAAGTAAACAAATAAAGTAAAATAAGTAAAATAAATAAGTAAACAAATAAATAAAAATACAAAGTCATCAGCATTGTGGGAGGCCAAGGTGGGAGGATTGCTTGAGGCCAGGAGTTTGAGCCCAGCCTGAACAAGAGCGAGATCTCATCTTATAAAAAACTAGAAAAATTAGCTGATCTTGGTGGAGGGGAGGTAGGAGAATTGCTTGAGCCCAGGAGTTGGAGGTTGCAGTTATGTTGACACCACTGCACTCAAGCCTGGGTGACAGAGTGAGACTCTGTCTCAAAAAAAAAGACAAAATCATGTTGGGAGAGATTTTTTAAGTGGGCCATTACTGCAAACAAATTAAAAATTCAGAAAGACATACAATGGTAGGTTTCACTTTGTTTTCTTTCAAGAACAATAGGATTATAGTGGGCTTTATGTTCTTTGGGGTACTTTCTGAGGGGTATTTTCTAAATTTGCTATGGT